GGAAGGAGGGTAAGTTATTCTGAAATGGGGAATTGATCCTACATATGCATTAAACACCATCCGCTGCTTGTAATACAGAGCTATACGCACGTGCATTGCATTCCTTCCTCCCAAGCACAAAGCAAGTCAGCCTCACACATAACACACACAACGACAGCACGACATGTGTGCAGTGTGTGTATGTGTACATCTGAGCTGGCACTCCTGTGTGCAGTACACCGAGAATTTGGTGGCAGTGTTTTTGCAACACGGCATCAACACAGGTGTAGCTCACATTACTAATCTACAGTACTTTGTGATTGTACAGTACCGTAGCTGTTGGAGATTTCCCAATTTGCCATGTAGAAAGGGACCGATGGTGTAACACTCAGTGGAGGGGCCAACTGAATAATCCCACATCAAAGACACACACACCAAAAAGGCCTGGGGGCATATGCACTGCACGCTCCACAAACACCTAAATATTAATATCACCAGAGTTTGCACTTCCTGGACTTCGAACTTTAAATACAAGTCTTTTCCTGTCGCACTTATTGTAGGTTCAGACCACTTATTGTAGGTTCAGACAGCTACATATTATAGCTATACCCCTGGCCTAGACAAAAGTATACCAAAGAGGTATATACGTACACTACCTGTGGGCATATTATGGAAACGCTCCCTCATATTAACCTCTTAGATGTATCATCTAATGTCTTCCCAGACAAGACAGAGCCAAAGGTTAACCACACCTCAATGGGCGCAGGTTAGACTCCAGCATGTCCGGCTATTGACATCTACCGCCTTTGATAGATGAGAGGTTTCCTGTACTATGTGTACCCTAGAGTGGCTCTACATAGAAAACCTCGCATTCGCTACCCTCGCCGCTCCTGCTCTGCCGTCGAGATAAATAATGTGACGCTGATCGCACATCAGCCTCAGACCTTGCTCGGCTGGCTCCCAGCAGATGCGCAGTCGCGCTGCGACACGCACCCCGCGCGCCCGGCGCCCCCGGAGTCGACCACGCAGCGCACACCCCCGCGCCCCCGGTCGCCCAGGTGTAGCGGACCACGCAGCGCAACCGCGCGCCACGGCGAGCGCACCCCGGAGTCGCACCACGCACGCACACACCGCGCGCCCGGCGCGAGACTGCACAACGCACCGCACGACGCGGGCGGCGCCCGGCGCCCGGAGGCTTCAGCTGTACCAGCGACAGCACTAACACCCTTGCGCGCCCGGCTCCTCAGAGGAGCGGCACCCTCACAGTCGACTCCCTCGCCAGTGCCTGTGCGGCCGGGCCAGGTGCAACAAACACACACACACACACACCACACACATACACAAGATAAGTGGTCCAACCCAAACAAGGAATCACTATGCATACAAAGGGTGGCTCACTCGTTACATTATTATGGAAGAGGTCTTGGCTTCCCACCCACCTCGTGTAGCCTTGTATGGAACAAGCGGAACAAGAGAACAAGACTCACGCGCGGAAGACTCTCTCAACAAGGCTACGGTGTTTTTTTAACAATCTGCAGCGATGGTGTTGGGTGGTCAGTGAGACTATAAACAGAGTCACGTTGGGAAAGTGAGTATACCTACCTACGTACGTAGATAGGTAGAATCTCATAAACTCAGCCAAGTGATAGTGGAAAGTGAGTAAAGAGAACCCTTAACATGGGAATGTGAGTATAGAAGCCTATAAACTAACAGGAGTGAGTATAAACCCCATAAGCAATATACATAGACGTGAGTATAGAAGCCTATAAACTAACAGGAGTGAGTATAAACCCCATAAGCAATATACATAGGTGAGTATAGAATAAGCTCTTACACAGGCACAGTTTTGCACGAAGAGTGATTAGCATCTATATATAATTATACAGAACTTGGGGACATTGTGAAGTGAGTATAGAAACGCTAAATAAAAACTCGCCACCCAAGTGGCATTGGTAAGCGAGTGTAGATAAAACCCCGTAGCTCTACAGTGAAGACATAACACACACACCGACATGGCCATGGCAACGATGTGTCCGGCATCCGGGTCGACTACGAGCCGTATCTCGTGTCGACCATCAATACCAAACACGCAGCAACAGATCCCATTCCTATCGTCTCTTACGGCCATTACACTAATTCGCGTCTGACACACGCGGTTTGTTGTTTTAGTCCTCGAGAGAACGCGCCAAGCGAGAACAACAATTAGCGTACAACTTTTCCAGAAAAAGAAAATATCATACCCTCTCATCTAGGACACGTAATGCTCCCATTATAGATACATATGACGTTCACTGGAGATAACCAATTATTGAGATTGCGACACAGCGACCTTTGATTACTTGTATAGTTTGACGGGAATTTGCAAAAAAACACCTATGCCTACTAATTCAATATTTTTTTTAAGTTTTTTCTCAATCTACAGGAGATGGGGGTGTTGGGGTGTGGGGGTGTGGTTTGTTGGTTTTTTGTTTGGGGGTGTTTTTTGTGGTGTTGGGTTTTGGGTTTGTTTGTTTTGTTGGGAAAGTGCAACAAAATATTTGACTATGTAGGATGGAGAATGGTAAGAGGATTTTGAGGGGGCTAGGCGAATAATAATATTTGGGTTGCGCCTGTTGCCTTTTGAGCACATTCTACTGTAGGTAGCAGGGTGATGGAACGGACATTTGTGGGGGTGGGGTTTGTTTTTTGGTTGGTGTGGGGTGTGGTTTTTTTTTTTTTTTTTTGTTGTTTCCGAGTGCCCACCAGGGAAAAAAACTCGAATATGACTAGCACTGAGAGACAGCTCTCTACCACCTTGCTAGGAGAGGGAAACTGTATGGTGAGGGCCTCGTGCACTGCCTTACAACTACCACACATTAAGACAATAATTATGCACACTGCATACAGACAGGGCCAATAATGTCTGTCAATACCACTGCGTTGGGTAAGGCAAAGGAAAAAAACAAGTGGGAACACTCTTCCTTCCTAATAATGCCCACTATAGCAGTGTTCTTAGTAGTGAGATTTTAACCCTTAGTCAGCCACGGGCATATGTATATATTACATGCTCAGAGCCTCCATAAGTCCATAAGAATTTATATAGGGCTAATACTAGGCATTAATGTTATACGTACATCATGTTCTGCTTATTAGATACCATGGTGTCCAAAGATTGTAAGAATCTTGACTAGATCAGTAGATCACTTTAGCTATCACTTTCTGTGATTTTTACACGTTTTAGTAATAACGCAGTCTCTCTCTCCTTTCATAGGGTTCCACATCTTTTGACTACTACTACGTAGGGACATTGCCACCCTGCCACACACTCACCGCACTCACCCCGATCCCCCTCTCCCCCTCCCCCTCTCTACCCCCCCCCTCACCTCAGATAGCAGACGGCCAGTCTAAGCACAGTCTTGGTGTCCATCTGACTTGTCACCTCTCTGGGGAACGGCAGTAGACCTGCCAGCTCATCCATCAGACCTGTAACCAGTAGTGTAGCAGACAGATGCACATGATATGTGCAGTACAACATGCGCATAGTAAGACTAAATCCTTGGGCATAGCCTTGGTTCCAGATGGAACTTGTATAACGACTGCAAAGCATTTTTGGTGAGCGAAGCAAGGAATTAAATTGTTTGCTCGCGTTACGTGTGTATTTAGAATCATGTGTAACATTACGGTACATGCAGTGCCGGTTGTATATAAAATTGCACGAATCGCTATATATCACCCCTGTATTTCAATGTAATTTAGCTACGAAATCTATCACCACCAATGAGGGTATTACAGCCACAGACGTAGCATTGTGCTGGGCGGTGCACACGTACTTGCAATTTGGATTGATCTGAACTGACACTATAAATCTGACACTATAAATCTGGTGCCTTGGAATGTGTCAGCACGTACAGGCTTCTATCTTTCACACATCAGAGGCTCATTTAGGGTCATTCCTCGGCAGCAAGTGGACATGGTCAATGTGGACTATACCTAGCTACTATATAGTGCAGACACAAACACACAAAACGATCTATTAGCCAATAGGTCTTTTGCATCATTGGACAGGCTTCGCTGAACGTGCAGACTGGAAACACACCTTTCTGGGTCATTCTTCGTTGCTGCGCCTGAGTTCTGCACTTTCCAGCTTGTCGGGCGATGTCGAGGGAGGAGGTAGAGGGCGTTTTCTTCCCCGTTCACGCGGTGGGGACTGCTGGCACGTCGCCTGCATAGCTGGAGCGGCTATTTCGTAGGTTCTGATTGCCGTCGGTTGCAGTCTTGCTCTTGTAGTAGCCACTGCCGCCATCCTCTCGTCACACAAAAAGTACTGAGCGACTTCGTCATACACAAAATCCGGTTGTCTGCGGCGGCCACGCCCACGCAATATAGGGAATTAGTTGCGCATGCACAGGTTTAACGCTGTGGGTCACAAAGGTCAACCTGTAAACGACACTCGCGCGCAAGTGCGGGTGTTCGGTTGATCGAGCGAACCGGCCACGCCCTTCTGATCTGAAAGAGTGAAATCACCGGCACTACAAGCTAAAGTGTATGAACAAACAACGGCCACCAGATCAACGTTCTTCTTAGACGCGAGGGACCAGAAAGAGTCCAGCAAAGATGGCCGAAATAATGGTAAGGAAGAGAAAGGAGGTAGACGCTGTTTTACGCGCACTAGTACTACTATACCGGGGAGGGTGGGCGAGGTTGGACGTGTGTGTGAGTGAGCGGGCCAAGTACAGTATACAACATGCGCAAAGCGGCGTGGCGTTTCTGAGTGGCAGCTGTAAGGAAAGCCCCGGCGCCTGAAGGGGAAGCGTTAGGGAGATTACGGCTAGCCTCATCAGTCCCAATTCCGTGGAGCAAATGCGTGTCGGTATGCATTGTACAACACGTTCTCAACCCACCGGACTACCTTCCGTCGCGCCTTTGGTACTGCTAGTTTTTCTCTTGTTCCTATGACAAGTGTTGTACAAGTCTCACTACGAATATCAAGTGTGGCAGCTACGTATGCATAGCTAGGTACAGGTTTATGAAGGACGGTGTACAGTGTATACCAATCATGGCTCAGTGTTGTTTCTTTTGTTGGCGTATACTGTTGTGGGTGTGTGGTGTGTGTAACAGGTACAGTGTTTGTTCCAGCTAATGGCAACATGTTAGGAAAATGGGATGGGACAAGCCTTTGGGGAAAAACTGGTTACTGTTGTTTTGAACTTTAGTGTCATAGATACATCTAACATTTGCCTACAAAATTACTCACAATTACAAATGTTGGTCCATAATATTATGTGTGGTTCACACGGTCCCGCTGTCATTAGTTAGGGTGAGGTCGTGTTTTCTCATCGGGACGGTGACTCGGCAAGAAAGCAAAACGCGAGGAAACGTGTGCAAGTGTGACTTCACCATTTTTTTTCTTGTGCATTTTTCGCTTGTGCTGTGTGACCTTATTTGTCCGAGGAATGCGACCCGCGGTTACGTCATGCCTGAGAACACTCCCAAATGGGGTGAAGCTGCTGTATTTATAGAACCCTGTCGTAGTATGTAGACTTTCAGCTCCCGCTCTGTCTGACTGTGCAGTACATATCGGCCATGCCAAATCCACATGGAGCTGTCCATCTGGGTCTGTAATAAATGGCACGCAGTAGCAACAAACTTATAAAGCCGGGTCACAATTTACACAGTGCATTTGGATGGTCTTCGTTCTCTTTGTTGTCTGTATAATGCAGTACATTAGCAAACCGGTTTTGTTTCTACAGCTTCGCAAATCTCGTGTTTTTTTGTCCCTTGTAGTGTGTTTTTAAAAGCCTAGTGTGTGCGTGTTTTTGCCCCTACGCAAAATGGTCTACGTATCCATTTGTAAGGAAAGTGGGAAAATCTCACCAATTTAATTAAAACTAGCATCTGCATGTCGTTTTTGCCTGCTTTTTCTGTCACTAACTGTTTACATTTCCCTGAAGAGTGTGGCCTATATTTTGTGTGCCTCTAAGTATATATACTTACTGTGTATGTACTAAATACTAAATTGTTCACATAACCATTGAGAGTGTTGCTTGATCTAACTATGTTGTGTTGAAGGTTCGAACCCCTACCAGCTGAGTTGCCCTGGTATCTCAGTTGGCAGGGCACTCGCCTGAGCGTCGTGGGTTCAAATCCCACCTAGGGTAGCTGGAAAAAAAACTCTTCTGGGTGTAGTTGACCGTTTTATACCTTGCCTTTCTACCGCGTCGATGACACACTGTGTAACGTACATGTAAGTATATACTTGAGGGCTGAGGGTGGCTAGGGTGGCTAGCTATTGTAGGAGAGTTGTTAGCAAATGGAGAGGTTCTGGAAGATCCATTGAGCCTCATTGAGTCCAAATGTATCACACACATACAGGCTACAATAACCGCTGTACAGTTTAGTGTGGAGGTGAGCCTCATGTGTGCTAGCAACACGGGTGATGTATTCCTGTCACCAATCAGGGAGGGAGAAGCTTGTGGCAGGCAGAAATCTGATACATTCTTGGGAGCTACAGTACAACTGCCCAGTTGTATTGTTCTGGGAAAAGAACTGGCTTCTTTTGTGGACTACATATCCACTCATGTGGTTACGTCAAAGCATGCTGTAAAGCTACACAGACTCACTCCCTCTCTCTTCCTCCCTTTCTCTGTCCCTTTTTCTCTCTCCTGTGACATACATATGGATACATTCCCTTTAACATACACCCCTTATTTCAATTCTCTCTCCCCCTTCATCCCCTATATCCAGCCACTTTCTCTCCTCTTTCTCCCCAGACTGGTGTCCCCATACCCCACTCGTAAAGTTAGAAATTGGTGTCGTTTTTCTCTGTTGTGCTGATTCAGCAGTTATACAACCAGCCAACCAATCAATTGTTGGTGTGGTCTCAATGTCTATAATCTACACCAGGCCACACACGTGTGTATCGTGTCCAATGTAGTCCAAGTTTGTCCCATTATAGTTGCGATACGACTAATGTGTCTTCTTTCCCCCATTCACTTCTAGTTCGGGATTCCATATAATAGCCAGCCGATGGCTAAATAGTCACAAGAAGTATCTACTGTTGCCTATTATAGTGTGGCAGCTTCAATGCACACGGATTATGATCACATTTTTGAAACTAAGCGTATTTGCTGGAATCCCAGATCGTCTATAGTACAGTCGGTACGTTCAGTATGTAGGTAGGTAATGATGCGTGAGCCAACTGCAGTGGTCAGTGCCAGTGGCTCTGTGGGGAGGAATGCCAGCAATGTTCCTGCTACACGTGTACCTACATTCGTCAGTTCTTTGACCGCAGGACTGCTGCCAAGTTCCCTATTTGCACTGCTTAGACCTTCGCGTCTCTTTTGGGGGCCTTGTGTGAATTTGCACGGTGGCTTCAGCCTGACAATTGGACGTGCAAAGTCTCAATCTTCCATAAAACAGTGGAACCCCCCTTTCTAAGGACAACACTTTGAGGACACCTCTCTAATATAGACACCTTTTCTTTCCCTAAGAAAATGTCTGCATTTAGTTTATCCCCTGAAATGAGGACACCTCTCCAATGAGGACACCTTTTCTTACCTAAAAACGACAGTTCTGCATTCAATTTTATCCGGACGCCTTACTAATATAGACACTGTCTGTCCTGTCCCATTGGTGGCCACTCTATCAAACATATATACACTGGTGTATCGATGATGCACATGGGCAGGCTGAAGGGTAGCAAAGAGTGGTGGGTTGACAGCCAGTGTAACTAGTCAAAACACACACTCGCTCATCCACCGACTATACAACCAAATCTCGGGCTGAACAACATTAAAAGTAAGGTCCATGCCAAAGGTGCTGTGTTTTAGCGTATGTTTCTCTTCCCTTCACATTGACCAAGTTAGCCCGGGGCCGACCCAAGTTGTTAAAGTCATGGCACTGTTGTACATGTTGCGTAATGGTCTAAAGCCCTGTGAGTTGAACCCTGCATACTAAACCAGAGTTCCACTCACCCTGTATTTATGACAAAAGAAATTTTCTAAATTTAATTTTTAAAGGAATGTGTCAGTACATTAGGGCTAAATTTAGAAATTGTTACTAAAAGTGACTCAATGCTATTTCTGGCTTTAGCATGCCATGCACACCAGGCTGACCAAGTTACTTTCGCAACACTTTTATTTTACTTTTGTTTTGTGTGAACGGAGCATTCCGCGTCCAACCTGGATTCACCTGAATGGAATTTCTCTCTCTCCTCCCTCCCTCTCTCTCCCTCGTCCCTCCCTCTCTCTCCCTCTTTCTCCCTTCCCTCTCTCTCCCTCTCTCTCCCTCGTCCCTCTCTCCCTCTCTCCCTCTCTCCCTCCTCCCTCCCTCTTTCTCCCTCTTCCCTCCCTCGTCCCTTCCTCTCTCTCTCTCTCTCCTCCCTCCCTCTTTTTCCCTCTTCCCTCCCTCTTCCCTCCCTCTTCCCTCCCCCTCTCTCTCTCTCCTCTCTGTCTCTACCACAGGCTAGAGTGATGTATGACTTTGAAGGTGACACGGAGAACGGAGAGTTGGTGATAAAAGAAGGAGATGAGGTGGTGATCCTTGATCAGGTATGGCCGTGTTTCATCCTCCCCATCTTTCTCTTCCTCTATTCTCATTCACCCCTCCCCCCTGGACACACGTCTCTCTCTCTCTCTCTCTCTCTCTCCCTCATTACTGCTTCATACATTCCCCAGCCCTTATCTGTCCACCTGTTTCTACCCTCCCTCTCTTCTTGCCACACATATGGACTGGTTTTTATCCTCCACCCCTTTTGAATGTACAGTGGAACCTCTGATAAGGGACCCTCTGAGATAGGGACGACCTCTCTACAAAAGACACTTGTTTCAACCCCATGCTAATACTTTAGTGTATTATTTGACCTCTGAGATAGGGACGACCTCTCTACAAAAGACACTTGTTTCAACCCCATGCTAATACTTAGTGTATTATTTGACCTCCGAGATAGGGATGACCTCTCTAAAGCCTTTGGCCTCATAGTTTCCCCCTGTTAGGAGGTTCCACTGTAATCCTCCGCCCCTTTTGAACGTAGTCTAAATCACTGGATGACTCTTCTCTCTTCTCTCCTGCTCAAATTGTGATGAGAGGGTGGGAGGGGTCATTCAAAGTCCCAGTAACTGGCGAGTTAAGCAAGCCTACCTCATTTTTGGAATTGCTCGATTAAGTTGTGAGTGTACATAGCCACAGTAATAATATGTATGTGAATAGTATGTGAAACAGTATTGAACTGCTAGCGCTTGCTCGTCCAAAAGCCATCTGTTGCATTCTTTCTACACTAGTTGCATTCCTCATCTGTTGTACTTGTACTATCTATATACCAATGGCTGGTATGCTATGAACTATAATTTCATGCAATCAGAATGTAGGAGACGGTTGGTGGGAGGCGAGAGTTACCAAGTCAGGGCAGACTGGACTCGTGCCAGAGACCTACATCGAGGTTTGTAACTACCGCTCGTATATAATATATAGCACATCCACTGGCTGGGTATGTACTCACGCAACCGTATACCTACACAGTCCTATGACAGTGTATGTACATATATAGGTACAGATTGATAGCCAATCTACTGGCTCCATACTCACGCAAGTGTGTACCGATGGTCATGTGTGTATAATATACAGTGTATATACTAGGTACAAGGTAGGCAGTGTATTGCTATAGCTGTATAGTATAATAATTATGGGCTTTATCAAGGGCATGTGACTATGGGTTGATTGAAGTGTTTTGACTTGCCTAATATGTAGTAGCTCATTGACTTGACCTGACGTGCTGGTAGCTAATTCTTTCTTCCTCTCCCCTTTCTCTGCTCTCTCTTCTTCCTCTCTCTCTCCTCTCGTATCGTCCCCCTCTCTTCCCCCTCTCTTGTATCTCTCTTCCTCCTCTCCCCCCTTGTCCCGTTCTCTTCCCCCACTCCCCCCCTCTCCCCACTCTCTGTCCAGCTGCTAAACGGTGAGGGAGGAAGAGGAGGAGAGTATGACGAGGCTCAGCTGGAGGGAGACGAGCAGGGATGGGACGAAGAGGAGGACGAATGGGATGAGAATCCCCAGGACGAGGGAGGGGGCGTGTCCTCCAGTTCCCGTAGTTACTCCGAGAGCTACCACAACCGTCAGAGGACAGAGTCGGATCGCTATGGCGACCAGCGGAGTCGATCCCCGGCAACTAGCGAGAAGAGTACAGGGTTCGGTCGGGCAGGCACAGTCAAGAAGAACCTCAACCGGTGAGTGAGTCAGTGGCTATGTACCTTCTCTCTCTTCCTTCCATTTTAGACAAGTTTACTGTATACATTCTGGCAGCAGAACTGGTTTTAACCACGCAATAATTGAGGCATTAAAAAAATATCTTTTGTTCCAAAAAATAAAACAAAAATGTGGTTAGGCACCTTGAGCACTGTACACACTCTATATGACACGAGTTCTAGGAAAAAGTGTGTGTTCCTTATACCTACCTGAGTATGCTAACGAAATTGTAGCCTTGACTTTTCGTGCAGTTTGTTTCTGTCTCGCTGAGTGGTTGCAAGTGTACATCATGCGCATGTAGAAAATACCATGTGATGCCAAGAGAAAAAAGAAGGGAGCTCTGGACAGCTGTTTCGGGCTTGTTGGCCCTCATCAGCAGAGCATACGCAACTTCTCTCTCTGGCATTACGAGTTTATAAAGGCTGCCATGAGCGCAGCATGCATATCCTCAAAACTGGCACTTTGATATTATCAGTCTGTCTCTATCCTCTGCTTCTTTTCCTCTCTCTCCCCACTACTTATGTTATATACACTTGAACCTCATTAATACAAACACTGTTAAAGAAAATACCTGCTTAATACGAAATCCCCAGGCATTATAACACTAATACAACTAGCTATATACTGTTTTAGTGAAATATGAAAATTTTTTGATGGTCCCCTGGAGTTCATATTAACGAGGTTCGACTGTACCCTCTCTCGTCATTTATCCACCTCCCTCTCCCTCTCCCCTCCTTCTTGTCTTTCAGATTCTCACCATTCGTGAAGGCTGGTGCAGAGACCTTTATTCTGGGAGTAGCTTCTCCAAAGGCTCATATCACGGCTCAAGATAAACTGAGAATAGTAGTAAGAGAGAGGGAGGGAGGGAGGGAGGGAGGGAGAGAGGGAGGGAGAGAGGGAGAGGGAGGAAGGAGGGAGGGAGAGAGGGAGAGAGGGAGAGAGGGAGGGTGGAGGGGGGAGAGAGAGAAGGAGGGGGGCTATACCTTAAACTTCGCATTGAGGCTTAGTTTTTCTTCACACACCTGCATTTATGTACGTACCTAGCAGGGATTGTAAAGCAAAACTGGTAAGAGAGAGGGAGAAGGAGGGAGGGAGAGAGGGAGAGGGAAGAGGGAGGGAGAGAGGGAGAGGGAAGAGGGAGGGAGAGAGGGAGAGAGGGAGAAGGAGAGAGGGAGAGAGGGAGAGGGAAGAGGGAGGGAGAGAGGGAGAGGGAGGGAGGGAGAGAGGGAGAGGGAAGAGGGAGGGAGAGAGGGAGAGGGAAGAGGGGGGATTAAACCTTCAACTTCACATTAGGGTCTACGTTTCATTCTCACACCTGCATGTGTGTACCTAGCAGGGTTATTTTTTTTCGAAAGGGAAAGGTAGAGCCAAACCTGAACCATAGACATGGTCCTCTGGTGTGCAATCCTTTCCACAGGGATCCTTTTACCTCCATTTTCTCTCCCTTGCAAATCTTGTAGAAAAAAAACCTGCGTTGAATAATTATTCCTCTATCGTTAGAAATTTGCCAGTGTGGTGCATTGGTATTTTATAGTATGTGCAGTGTCCATTTTCTGGCCATAATAATGGTCACATAGTACAGAAGAGTAGTGTGTTGCATCTGTCAGCATGTGTCGGTGTGCTATCCACTGCTGCGTATACTCGTGAATAACAGCATCAGGGCTAAAGTGGGAGTGGCATGTTTGCTGCGATGGCATGTTTTTCAAAACATATGACGTAAACATTACCATGCTGCCCTATTCCCAGTCATAGAAAACAAATTTTACCACAAGAAAAAATGTGAGAACAAAAACTATAGGCAAACCCCTAGAACATAGGTTTAGCAGAAGAAAAGTTGTGAGCGAGAAGGAGGCAGCATACCTATTAGTAGTCTAAATGTTTGTGTGTGACAGGAACTGCACAGCTACAGCAACAGGCGTTGCATAATCCTCTATGTGATTCTTCTTCCCTACTTTACTACTGTATCTATTGATTGTTGCAGCTGTCCCCCGAGCAGACTCCAATGTGGGAGCCATCCCCCGAGCCGTTCACTGTGGATGTCCGTGACCCTGAGAAGAAGAAGAAGTTCAAAGGAATGAAGAGCTTCACTGCCTTTCGCATCGTTCCATCTGTGAGAGAAATGAGGGAGGGGGGAAGGGAGGAGGAGAATGAGAGAAAGAAGGAGAGGAAGAGGGAGAGGAAGAGGAGAGGGAGAGAGAGAGAAAGAGGGAGAGGGAGAGGGAGAGAGAGAAAGAAGGAGAGGGAGAGGGAGAGGAAGAGGGAGAGGGAGAGAGAGAGAAAGAAGGAGAGGGAGAGGGAGAGGGAGAGAGAGAGAAAGAAGGAGAGGGAGAGGGAGAGGAAGAGGAGAGGGAGAGAGAGCGAAAGACGAGAGTGAGAGGGAGGGAGAGAGAGAGAAAGACGAGAGGGAGAGGGAGAGCAGAGAGACGAAACGTAAGGAAGGACGAGGTGTGAAGGTGTATAGGTGAAAAGAAAGGGGTGTGTATAATGATATTCATTGGTACAGCCAAGCAATTTCCGTTGTTGTTGATGTTATGGAGGTAATCACTTATTGTAAGAACACTTGGTCGGTGTGTGTGTAGTACTGCTGCTTGCTAAGAATTGGACAGTTTTGGCTGCGGAACTGTAGCGGGAAACTTTTGAGGGAGAAAATATATTCTCCGTTTATAGTAGCTACATACCTGCAAAAGTTTGTAGGTGACAAGAAGCTGTGAGAAGTTATGTCAGTGAAATTATCATTTGCTACCAAAGTAGTTTTTACTCTCTTGAACGTTTTCCGCACCAGACGGTAGCTACGTAGCCGGTATGTACATACATGTGTATGTATAATGTTTATAATGAAAAAACATGTTTATAGCATACTAGCTAAAAGAATAATATCAGAGGAAAAGAAAGAACCTCCCCCACCCAAGCACACAAAACACAGACAATAACATACCCAAGCATACAAAAACACAGACAATGACATATAAACAGAAAGAAAGAGGCAGGACCCATAATGTAAGTGTTGGCACGGATACATGATGTATGTACATATGTAGTGTATACTGTGTATGTATTTATAAGAGCATAACCATCTGGTACGGATACACATATGTATGTATGTAATATGCATTGTATGTTGGATGCACAGAGCACTGGTAGAATGGTGAGTCGACGCTACAAGCACTACGACTGGCTGCACCAGAGACTGGTGGAGAAGTTCACAGTAACAGCCGTCCCTCCCCTCCCTGACAAACAGTTCTACGGTGACTGAGATACTCATGTGGTAGTAGCCATTGTGTTTAGAACACTGATTCTGTTCGTTGATTTGATGTGATCCCTAGACTGGCCTTATATGTACATAGTCGATGTACGTTGTAGTGTGTGCGTATGTAAAGTCATGGTATGCAGTAGTAGCCATTTGTAGGAATGCTGATTCTGTTCATTCCTGTGCAAACTTTGACCCTCTTTCTGTGTGTTTTTCTGCATGTTTGTGGCCTAGTCATTTCTACCTCAGCTATTAACTGTGTGTATGTCCTGATTAGCATGGAGTGTTTAGGGATTGTGTGAAGAATATTATTATTCATTTCCCCTCTCCCCCCTCCCTCTACTCCCTCCCTTCCCCCTCCCCCTCCCTCTCCTTCCTCCCTTCCCCCCTCCCTCTCCTCCCTCCCTTCCCCGTCTCCCCCCTCCCTCTCTTTCTCCCTTCCCCCTCCCTCTCCTCCCTCCCTCCCTTCCCCACCTCCCCCCTCCCTCTCCTCCCTCCCTCCCTTCCCCCCCTCCCTCTCCTCCCTTCCCCCCTCCCTCTCTATCTACAGGGCGGTATGGGGAGGATTTTGTGGAGAAGAGACGACAGAAACTCCAGATGTGGAGCAATCGCATCGCCAGACATCCTGTGCTCTGCAGATCTGAAGTCATTACACATTTCTTCCTGTGTGACGATGAGGGAGGGGTGAGTAGGGGAGGGAGAGAGGGAGGGAGTAAGGGAGGGAGGGAGGGAGGGAGGGAGGGAGGGAGGGGTGAGTAGGGAGGGAGTGAGGGAGGAAGGGAGGGGTGAGTAGGGAGGGGTGAGTAGGGAGGGAGGGAAGGGAAGAGTAACATAGGGAGCGGGAATTATGTTAGCATTAAAGGTGGTACATAAAACATAAGCAATTGAGACAGAAACTTATAAATCTGAAATAGGCAGCGATGGCAGCTAACAGGTAAGTCTGTCTTGGATCCTTGAACTGGCCATCAATTATTCCATGCACATACAATGGGTGTGGTCAATTATTCCATGCACATAGAATGGGTGTGCCATGCACATAGAATGGGTGTGGTCAATTATTCCATGCACATACAATTGGTGTGGTCAATTATTCCATGCACATAGAATGGGTGTGGTAGTATGTACAGCATTTGACAGGCCACAGAGGAAAGAGAACACCCACTCTGCGGGTTGCCCCTTTAGTGGCCTCCACCCTCCCCTTTGACTGTTCTCCCTCCCTCCCTCCCTCCCTCCCTCCCTCCCTCCCTCCCTCTCTCTCTCTTTCTTTCTCTCTCTCTCTCTCTCTCCCTCTCTCTCTCTCTCTCTCTCACACACTCACACCTGCAGTCACAGTGGAAGGCAGGCAAGAGGCGGGCGGAGAAGGACGAAATCATAGCTGGTGTGTTCTTCTCCACTGTTGAACACCCGGAGGTCCACATGGAGAGAGAGACAGCGTACGTCAACACTTTTCATCCACACTCAAAAAATACCACTGGCTTTGTTGCGCCGTTGGAGCTCTTCCTGATTTGAAGAGTTTTCTAACACTCATTTCGACACACCATTACGATGGATGGTGTTGTGTATAGCTTGACCAATGCTGCGATAGTGAAAACAAAACAGCTCCCAAGACATCATTTTCGTTTCCAAACCAGTGACCACCAATTGCGTAGCAAAGGGAATTTTGCAGGCCTGTTTGCAGTCATCACAGAGGGGGTTGCACACAATCAACATTCCTAAGCCGTTCACACATGCGGCTATTACATGTGTAGCTGCGAGAGAAAGGGTTTCTGGGTGCTGTTCAAGCAAGCCAGGGACTTACTATTCCTCGATTGTGTATATGCCTCAGATTGTATATACCGCAAAGAGCACTCGTAACCTTTACAAAAGCCAGAATGCTGCTCTTGACAAAGTGCCGACTCGGCGGGTTGACTGGATTGCGTGGGAGAGCATAAAACTCTAACTAAGCTGGTAGGGGTTCGAATCTACAACAAGACACAAGGCACACCTCAAACCACTGTGCTAGCCTCCTCTGCAGTGCTCATAAGACTCTACAAAGCTGTGATAGTCACATGACCAACACACTGGTCATGTGAAGATCACCTGACCAGTCCATACCTCCTCTATGTAGGGAGAGTGAGGTGGAGCACTTTGGGAAGTTCCTGCACGCCACGAAGGAGAGCGTGGCAAAGGTTCGCGGGAAATTCATCGACCACTGCAACCAGATGTCTGGACGTAAGTATTTACCTACATACACAGTACTGTATATACTACAATAGGGAAATTTTTGAGGTTTCGGTAACAAAACATGAATTTCCGGGATGCTCCTCCCACAGTACAACTGTCCGTTCCCACAAAAATTTACTTTTGCTGGTGGTTCAAAACCAGGAAATTCGTTCAAGTTTTATCCCTTGAAAGTTTCACGCTATATACAGTACGATCATGGAGATGGTACCTAGCGTTGTACATACGTAGATGTACATATGGGGCTGTGATAGGGAGTTTTGTTCATCTTTTCTCTTAGAAAGGTGTGAACATTTGTGTTGGTTTATCACGAGGAAACATAACATGTTTACTATTTGTCTTGAATTTACTGTCTCATTGGTCCTGCACAGCTTTTGCGGCAGAGTTTCACAAGATGGCAGCAGTTGTGAATGGCCTCGCCCAGTGCTTTGCCATTGAGAACAAAGACTGTAAGTTATATAATACTGCTGATATTCATTCATACATATTGAAACTGTAAGTTATATAATACTGCTGATGTGATGCATACTAATTAAGATGCATGACACTTTAAACCGAGAGCCAAAAGATTAACTCTTACTCTCTCATATAGAAATACCCTTCAAAGCTTAATAATATGTACTTCTGAACCGAGCACTGCACTATGTTAGGGTATAGAGTCTCATTAAAACTGTCATTTCTACTGTGATCTAGTTCTAATTGCTGTGCAACAACAACCCTCTTGTCACCCGGCTCTCATTAATTGTCTCTCTATACAGACTCGAAGCCACTGACAGATGCAATATCCCAGGCAGGAGAGACCCTCAGGGATATTGGGCAGATGCACGCAGAACAGGTCAGTAAACTCATGTCTACTGCTCAGTAAACTGTCAGTAAATCATGTTCCCTACTTAGTAAACTATCAGTAAATCATGTTTAATCACCCAGTAAACTGTCAGTAAATCATTTCCTTCAGCTCAGTAAATCAAGTCTGTAGCTTAGTAAAAATCTCAGTAAATATTCCCCGCAGCTCAGTAAATTGTCAGTAAATCACGTCCTTTGCTCAGTAAACCATCAGTAATCATGTTAGCAACTCGATGCTCTAGTAAAACTAACACTTGATCTCTATAAACTGTCAACTTTGTGTTAAAGTCATTAACAGTTGTGTTGAAGTCCTTTCAGTGAACTCTCTTCTCTCTATTCAACTGCAGCCAAAGTATGACATGCTACCGGCTCTGGATGTGTTGAAGGAGTACATCGGCATGATGCAAGAGTTCCCCGACCTTGTGGAGATCCACCGGGGAGCCATGAGGAAGGTTAAAGATGCCGACCGGATGAAGGAAGAGGGACGCATTGATGTGAGTCAACAGTGTATATACATTGGTAGAAGGCAGCTGTAATGGTAGAAGGCAGCTGTAGTGGTAGAAGGCAGCTGTAATGGTAGAAGGCAGTTGTAGTGGTAGAAGGCAGTTTTAGTGGTAAAGGCAGCTGTAGTGGTAGAAGGCAGTTGTAATGGTGTAGAAGGCAGTTGTAGTGGTAGAAGGCAGTTGTATTGCAGTAGAAGGCAGTTGTAGTGGTAGAAGGCAGCTGCAGTGGTAGAAGGCAATAGTATTGATGTGAGTCTCTATGGCTGAACAGCAAACAGTGTAGTATTATGTGGCCTTTCACCCATAGCCACCCCTACTTAAGATACCCTCAGCTTGTTTACTATGTGGCATGTAACCAATACCAAGACTCTGACAAATGCAGGACCTGTCGTTGGTTTTGACTTCCACGTGTATATATACAGTGGAATCTCTGAACAAGGGACACTATGGGGCCAAAGATTTTGTCCGTTGTAGAGAGGTCGCCCCTATCTCGGAGGTCAAATAACACACCAAAGTACAATTTGAAACAAGTGTCCTTTGTAGAGAGGTCGTCCCTATCTTGGAGGTCAAATAATACACTAAAGTATTAGCATGGGGTTGAAACAAGTGTCCCTTGTAGAGAGGTCGTCCCTATCTCGGAGGGTCCCTTATCAGAGGTTCCACTGTACTATTACTGATTGACTTGGTTTGGTAGAGGTATGTAAATTGGGTCTCCCCCCCTTCCCACTAGATGGTGGATGCGGACCAGGTGACGACGCGGTCGGACACGGTGTCCAACGTGGTCCTGGCCGAGATCTACCACTACCAACACGAGAGAGTCGTCGACTTCAGAGATCTCTTCAAATCCCTCCTCGGAGCCAAGATTCAGTTCTATAAGGAGGTATGTATATACAGTGTATTAGCAGGCAACTCTTGAAAAAATATTTTGTTGGATAAACGTTCCCATGATTTTCCTGCTGTATATACAATGGTCGCTGACCATTGTAGATTGGTAAAAATGTCTACAAAAAACATGTTTTGAGTGGGCTAAAATTATGAATTGAGGAGGAAATTTTGCAGAGAAACTTTCATGGATTTTTCTCAAATTTTACGGAGAAGAAAGCCTATTTATACTACATTGCAATTATGCAACATTTAGTAGGTGGCTTGTGCAGTCATAATTATTTTTTGTCTTTGCCCTCTTTGTGTGTCCAAATGTTAATCCTCCCTCCCTCCCTCCCTCCCTTCCTCCTCCATCCCTCCCTCCTCCCCTTCACAGATTGTTCACAAGCTGGAGATGGCACAGGGTCACTTCAACGATGGAACTGACCTTTGACCTCTCACCAGCTCTACACACAATTATAGTGCACCCAAGGCTATGTGTAACTTTCTAATTAGTGCCCCCTGGATACCACAGACACTGCCAGGACCCATCGCATTGTTGTACACAGACATTATGCATATTTTTGTTCAATTTTCTCCTGTTCTTCTGTAATATAAAAAAACCTTGGGATTTTTGTTTGGTAATAATAATTACCTATTTTGTACATAGGAGTATCAATATCGGTTGTTTGTGCTGTGTAAGTGTTTCAACTGATGGTCAGAGAACGGTCGCATTGCTTGTCCTCTCATTTGCAGACCAACTTGTGCCAAATGTGGTCAATCAAATACAGAACGAACGCAACACATTTTTGGTGTGTGAACACGGGTAGATCAATTTCACAGGCATATTTAGAATCACATAAAAAATTTGCCCCGGTATGTGCAGTTACAGTGCCAGTCTGTATCAATCAGCTCCCTATTGCGCATGTTTCAGCTTCAATAGCCGTCTCTCCTCCTAACATGTTCTAGTTCAGAGATGCACCAGAACATTCAAAGGGGGTGTGGTTTGGTGCATTCGACTCTATAGTCAGGTATAAGCAAGACAGGGGTATATAGGCAGGCTGACTTTGCTCGCAAAAATTGTTTTTCAAATCGGGTTTCAAAAGACGATACCTGCCATATTCTTTTAGTCCTCCATTCGCTTCACCTTGTCAGACATTTAACCTAACCCTCTTCCATCAATCAGCTCCCTCTTGTGCATGCTTCGATAGCTGTCTCTCCTCCCAAAATGTTCTAGTTCAGAGACACACCAGAACATTCAAAGGGGGTGTGGTTTGGTGCATTCGACAGGTATAAGCAAGACAGGGGTGTATACTACATACATACATCATACAATGCTAAAGCTTAGCTCGCAAGACACTATGCACAATCCAATGCCTCGAGCTATAAAAATTAATGTTACATGAAAAAACATGTTTATTCCAGGGTTAGGGAGGACAAATGCGGAATAATTATTGTACTACTTCAAGTCTTCATATTATACTGGATTCGGTGTTGCAGAGCACTGTTGAGGTCCACTGTGGCGTTTTCTCCGTGTCAGTGGTTTGTGTAGCTCATATGCCATGTTTCTCTCCATTGGCAGTGGTTTGTGTAGCTCATACGCCATGTTTCTCTCCATTGGCATGTATTTTGGGAGTGAGTCGAGGACTCAGTTTCTGTAATACAAGAGCAGGAAACTAAAGATTTTACCCTTTACTCAGATAATACCTTTCCGTTTTCTTTGTTTGTGTTTCGAGAGCATCTTCACTGTGATAATTCCAACCAGAAACAAAAGGGACGTGGTAACAGCGCCCATGCAAGCACCAACACCAACACCTGCTATATAGTAGAGATAGGCAGTATGTACAGTAGTAGTATTTGCACAATGATAACTTGCCCTCTGCACACAAGGGACTTGAGCTACTCGGAAACTCCAGTGACCCTGATGCACAGGCATGGTTAGTATAGTCGTTACATCTTGTATGGCCATACTTGTCGTTTCGTCTGTAAATGGGCGTTGAGATGTGACTGGGGTTGTGACGGGTCCGTGGACAGTGGCCACGGTGATGAAGTCAGGATCTCCAAGAGCTGGTGAACAAGAGCCCTCCCCTCCTCCTACTGCCAGACCGTAGACCAACACAGTGTATGTGACAGGGAGGAGACCAGAAAACCTGTGGACACCCTCTCCCTCCCCCTCCACACACCCTCCCTGCTGGAACCCTCCCTCCACCTCACTGCTCACCAGCTGCACATAGCACCTCTGTGAGAGGGTGTGTCTGAACACGCACCTCACCACCACCTCTCCCTCCAACTCCCCCACTTCAACTATCAACACCCTCGTACCTGGGAGGTATATTGTGTACAGTAAACGCCTAACTTGCTACACAGTGAAACCTCAAATAAGGATCCTCCAAATAAAAGGCACCTCTTACATTTGCTTCTGCCCCATACTATTAACTCCAAATTAGGACAAAGGACAAGTTCGATGTCCCAAGGTGTCCCCTTTTCAGAGGTTTCACTGTATAAATAAATGAGCAAAGAACAACCATGATGGTTATCTTCACACTAACTTATCGAGAAGGATCCACTGGAATTGGTTTCACCAGCTCCACTGTGTGAAGCGATGCTAACAGTGTAGTCACAGTCCTTCCCGAGGACCACTTGTGACTCAATCTGCCACACAACCATGCCTTCTTCTCCTGAAATGAGCTCTGGAAACACAACCGATACAACTCCCGGACATTTTTCCTGGTCACTGTTATAGTACCACAGAGTAAAGTGCCCCAAAAAGCATAGCACTGAAAATGAAAACAAGCATGCATAACAACAGCACCATTGTAACTACGTACCTGTCTTATTCACAAATAGGGGTGCTGTTATCAAAATTTGGAATGCATCTCTTGATCGCTCAAAGACATCAATATTAATTGCCTCGTCTATCAAAAGACCTGTATCATCTGGAAATGTTTTCTGTAAAGTACATACATACATACCTACAGTCAAAGCAAACCTGATACTACATGACCATATAAAAAGGTACTGTGATTAGTGCTTTCTCCCTGGCCAACTCCGTTCAGAGGGATGACAGAGAAGTTGTACACATGACAAGGACTGAGGAGGTAGTCGGGAGTGAAGGTGTAGTGTGTCTCAGTGATATTGATGCAGTCAGTACAGAGGATAGCTGTTGGGTTGTTCTCATCTGTCACATTGTATACCAGGACATGTACAGAGTACCAGATATCGGGATCAACACCAGTCACATCCAGAGAGAATGGAGCAGTCCACGAGATGGCGATTGATGAGTTGTTATTAAGGGCCACAACAGAGCCGACAGCTTCAAGCAGACCTGAGTGATATCACGAGCAGCCACATTTCAAATCCAAATTGTAGCTACATACTTCACCTTGTATTTTAAGTACGGCAAATTCACTCTCCAACAAAGTATTATCACCATCATTTTCAATTGCACACTTCACTCTAGTTCCATTGTATTCCACTCTGCCAGGAATTCTCAGGGAAATATAATAGAATACTGCAGCCGACACGCTATCATGAGATAGATCATCCCGTAGTGCTCCCGGTAGATCATCAATATTGGTGTCATTTAGTATCCAGTGGCCAGGAGCATCGCGTACCACACAGGAAAAGACTGCATCCCTGCCTCTGAACACTGTCTTGTCCCTAGGACCGTCTGTGATTTCTAAGAAGGATGGGCAGTCGTGTTGGTCTACCCAGCGAGAGAAATTGCTATAGCATGCAACATAATTGCATACCTTGACTCGCTGAAAGACACGCACACGCAGCTACGACGAAAAGTATCATCATTCTGCGAGTCCGCGATCGACTTGATCGTTTTAGTGCGCATGCGTATAAATCCAGACCTCGCGCATGCGCAAAATCACGACATGACGTCATGTCGTGATTTTGCGCCCCCCTACATGAAACCTGCACGAGTCAACGCTTGGTTGCTGCCGCCTCTACTGAGAAAGAAGCGACAACCAAAGCGCTTCCTTCGCCCATATACAGAGTATAACCCTTGTGGATACCTGCAACTACTTCGCACTGGCGAGAGCCGGCTTCATTTTGTACTGCGCATCGGAAGTACAAGCGTATACAAAAAAAACAGGTTCATGTTCGTAGCCCTGCACCACCGGCGAGGCATTTTTATATGTCAGAAACACGCCTGGAGAAGTGCTTCGGTCTTGTAGGAAGTTGAATAAGCCTGTCAGAACTCGGCAAGCACGCGACATCGGGGGCTACTGGAGCGTTTGTAACCCCCATACTATGGCATGAATACCGTTAGAAAGAGCCTGGTACCCCCTGCCCAGCGCTTTGTTACGCTTCTGGCTCAAGAGGAGATAGAAAGGAACACTGTAAAACATCTGTAGTGATTTCAAAATAGTCATTGACATGGATAGCTACAGAAACCATGACGTGAGCCCATGTCGGCCATGATACAAAGTGTAAAGTGAAACATTGGGTATAACAGAACAACTTGCAATATAAATTCTGTGACTATTAGTTCAGAAGACGCTGAACATGAAGTTCAGCAGCAAACCTACACTCCTTGAACTCAGCGTGGATGTTTGTCGACGAAAGAATGAAGTACCACATACTGTGCAATATCGATGTGTGTCGACGAAGCAATAAAGTACCACCATACACTGTCCGGTACTAGACAGAGACATGGAGCACACATATTATAAACAAACATACTACACAAAGCTGGAGCTGATAGTTCGAAAGTCAGCTGCAAAAAGGAATCTGGAGAATACAGGTTGTGGAAGATAGAGATGAGTCAGTTAACTGTACACAACCTACTTGAAGAATGCCGTGACGTCACTAAGTTGGTACGGAATTGAAACAGCCGTCGACAAGTAAGTCTAGTCAGTCCAGTCTAGCTAGTTAGTGGTTGGTCATGGCATCAACTCGGCAGTGATGACTGGTTTCGTAAAGACGAGTTACATACTTCTTCTTTTATTTTGTTTGAGGACAGTGAGCAAGTGTAAGTTTCCGACCGTGCTGTTGTTTTACATTGTTGAGCTAGCATTGTTCTTCTTGGAGAGACAGCTCTGACTGTTCCTAGAGCACCACGGGACGGTGGAAGGCAAGGTGGAAGGACAGTACAAGGGGATAAAGCGGTAGCATCCCACTGTTTCTTGTATAGGCCGTCATTATACACGTACACATCAATATATGGCCAGATTATGACCAAGAATACCGCCTTCGCAAAGATGCTTGCCGTCGCATACAGTATACAAACCGGTCGTCTAACGCTTTTCCCTTCTGCCTTTTCAATCAGACTTTCTCTCAAAATTGCTGGCGATCCGGTAGAAGACAACTTTTCAGGCTTGATAGCTGTTCATTCTGCTGCCTGCGCCGCTGTCGAGAAGCGACCATGGGCCACGAAAAACGTATCTACTCGTAGCGTCTTCTCCAAGGGTCAACGTTTTTGCGTAAAAACTCCGCCCACTAATCCTCGGTGCGCAAAGCCCCGCGAAAAAGCCATAGGGCCGTTGCCAACGCCCCGTTGCTACGGAAATTGTATGATTACGTAATGATTCCGTGACGTCACTAAGTTGGTACGGAATTGAAACAGCCGTCGACAAGTAGCTAGTTAGTGGTTGGTCATGGCATCAACTCGGCAGTGATGACTGGTTTCGTAAAGACGAGTTACATACTTCTTCTTTTATTTTGTTTGAGGACAGTGAGCAAGTGTAAGTTTCCGACCGTGCTGTTGTTTGAGCTAGAGTGGCGTATTTGCGGAACCCAGACTATTGTCTATTGTCAAGCGGCGTAAAAGCGGTGTAGCCAGTTAACGGAGGGTCTCTGGCTTCGTTTGCATGCTCAATCGTTTTGCTATGGGGTGGGGTATATCTAGTCTGGCTGTGCAGCACTCTAGTGGTGGATTCGTAGATGTGGGGCGCGGAGTGTGTGCTAAAAACGGAAACTTGCAGTGGGCCCATTTGTTACTAAATTTAGTTTCTTCATATTTGGTTTTGCTACAAACGGGTGGGTTAGGAATGCTCTACTTCCGCAGTATGTCCACGTCATTATAGTGACTGCAAAAAAGTGAATGCTGTGTATTCAGATTTATTTGTAACCTCTGCAGTTGAAAGTCAGCCCGTGGATGATAGGGTGGATGCCGGGAAACAGGCACATTTCCACTGTCTCACTAACGGCAATTCTATTTTCTGGAGGGTGGATGGCACCAACTTAGATGATCTTCCGTCAGGGACACTAAAGGATGAAGCTGTGCAGAATGAAAGTACATTAAATGATGAAGGACATCGCATCTTCACCCTCAGCTTCCCAGGAAAGGCCATATACAATGGCACTGAAGTGCAGTGTGTCGCTGATGATGGCGAATTTAGCAATGTCGCGACTTTGATTGTAAAAGGTAGCTATTGTACGTATAGCTGTAATGTGGAGCTCTGTATTTTAGACTTTAATGTTGCAGGGGCATTGCCAGGCAATAGGTATCCGAAGAAGCTTTTTAATCAGGAATGGAATTTTAAGCCACGGAGAGGTAGGCAGAGGAAGGGTTGGAGTAAGGTCATTGATGATCTCTTTTCGTCATTAGGTCTTGACAAGGCAGAGTGGTTGCATGATATTCAAAATGGGGATTGCTCCTTGAAGGGCTTTTTGTCTATAATAGGGGACAGTATTAATGAGAGGGAGATTAGAAAGTTTGAAGAGGGGCTAAATAGCAAAGTAAAGCTGTTATTGTATAAGACATTTAACAAGGTGGTAGAGTTCAAAAAGTACATGCATGGGAAAAGTGATGCTGGGTCTAGATTAATGTTTAAGTTCAGGTCAGGCACGCATGGGCTAAATGAGGAACTGGGCAGGCATAGGGGGAGGGAGGGGGTGAAAGAGTGCCTGTTGTGTGATGATGAGTGTGAAAGTGTGAGTCATGTGTTGTGGGTGTGTCCAGCATATAGTAGTCTTAGGAGCAATTTCTTAGTTGCCCTGCAGGGGAAGCTTGGGGGTGATGGGTTTGAGCATTTCCAGTCGCTTGATAGTTTCAGGAAAGCATCCTTTATATTGGGTAGTGAACTGTGGGAGGATAATTTTGGTTCTTTGCTTGGCCTTGTTAAAGATTTTATTTTGGATGTTTGGGAGCTAAGAAAGGTTACGTTATACGGCGATAGTCCCTGTGTACAACAAACCCAGTCTCAGATTGCGTCTGGGGAGCTGCAGGGTGTCGCTGGTGGAAGGGGTGAGTTGAGGTGTCTGGGAGGTGAGACAGACACCTCATGTTCATATGGTGTATGTTCGTGTGTTAACGGTTCCGCCCATTGCTCTGGGTGCGTGGTCTATGGCCCTAGTGCTATGGCAGCCACCTGAGTATTATTATTAATGTTGCAGGGGCACTAACATATGTCACAGATGTGACAATCACCAGAAATGGAAACTCTTTGACTGTGCTGTGGGTGCTTCCGTATCCACTAAACGAGACAAGTGTGGAGATATGGTACCATGTAATCATGGAGAACGTTACGGATGAGAATAACCCCGTGATGCTCAACTACCCCGGCTGTAATATTACAACTGAGACAAGCTGCACCTTTCCGTTCAGCTTCGTTGACCTTTGTGAGCAGTATGCTGCCACAGTTGTGCCATTCAGTGAGGCTGGCCAAGGGAATAGTAGTCGAGGTCTCTTGAACAGTCACCCCGGTGAGTGTAGCCTTATCCTTTTGTAAATTTACGTTAGTTTGAGTTCTCTTTTCATTCAAGATTGTACGTCTGACCGGGAAGATGTGGATTTAGATGACAACGATTTGGAAACCCCCCAAAACGAAAATGAAGATGAGATGCTCATTTACATTCTAAGTATTACTGGTAAGCTCTGAGATGGCTCAGAAATCATTTGGGATGTCCCGGTCATTACATCATTCACATTATTCCTTAGTCGTGCACTTAAGACTGTTATTAACCCCTCAGCGTGCGTGTGCAGCGACGGTCATAGTACTAGGTTTGTAAGTGTGTGGGTGTCTATCCGTCCGTCTGTCTGTTACCACATTTCCTGCCACCATACCCTATAAAAAGGACACCAACTGGTCCAGTATGACTTGACTTGAAGTTTCACACGTTATGTAGGTATGGTATAAATACCACGTCCATGTACATGATCTGTGTAGTGTACAGCTATATTGGTCATTGTGTAGCACAAAATCTGCTTGTTTGATAGGTGGGGTGGTCTTACTAGCTATACTAGTATGTGTGACCATTGCCATCGGCGTTGTGATTTGGAAGTGGAGGGGGGAAAAGACTACATCTAATGAGGTAATGTCAAATTGTTGTATGCTTTTACATCAATCTAAGCGACACCTCTAGAGTATGCAAGAACTTGAGGAGATCAGACAAGGAGACCCACCATCAGCGGAGGTGTGAAGATTGTTGTTTGTCTAATCCTTAGTTGCTATACTATACTATACTGTCTATAGGAAGTAAGTGAGAGCAATAAAGATGAGGGTGAAGTGATACTGGTTGCAACCAATGATACTACTGAGGTTCGGGGAATAATTGTCGAGTTTTGCTATTCACGACAGCTATATATCATCTAAAGAAGATGGATGAGCGCGAGGTTGTTGAAGAAGAGGAGATGAAACCCGAAACAGCACTGACTGAATCTCACCAAATTCCATCTGATATTCCTGAGGTTTAAATTATTGTTGTGCAGTACTCTCACGACAATTATAAGCTTCACCATCTCTAGAACAAGAGAGAGCAAATGGGGGTTGCTGAAGGTGAGGATGGTAGAGAGAAGAAACCTCAGATGACACTGAAAGAGCCATCCTACCTGCCTACTGAGGTACTATAGTTTGTTCTTTTTTTCATTTCCAGCCTAAGCTTGGTTTCGTTTTTGCCATTCCCAAAGATGAAAAAGGTTGCCGAAGAAGAGAGGATAAGAGTTGACCAAGAGAGCCATGTAAGTCTAAGTGTGAGTTTCCCTACTCGTTCAGGGATATTGTTAGTCTCAGAGGACGATTGCTGGTGGTGTAACAGAAGGAGGTGTTGAGGACTTAACCCCCTTTAAATCAGCTCAACCGGTAAAAAGCAGCAGTTCTCAGCAAGGTATATGCCGTAGCATTTTGTTGACAGAATTGTATATGTATTTCACTGCACAAAGTCAGGTGCATGCATGTGAGGAATTTAGAGAATTTAACAAATCTGGGAAATGTGAAATTGTTAGTTGCAGCAAAACTAGCCACTGTGTGTACAATACTAGGTGTGTTTCCATGAGTCTGGATTATGTACACATACACGCCCTATATTAGGAGAAGGTTTTGTTGCTGGGAGCCACTATGTATCAGTGTCAAATACGGAGAGGCCACTTCTGATTGAAAGAGAGGAAGGTAGGTACACAATTTATCATACAGCATCAGCTAGTGCACGGCAAGCGAAGCAGCCTAAATGCGGGTAAAAATTTCCCAGTCGTATTTGACGCTCATGCCCACTAGCCAAGTGTTACATTATAACTGTATATATCCTATTAAAGCCAACCAAGATTATTTTCCAGAGTATAAGTTCAACATGCCTCTTCTACTGCAGATCAGGTGCGTAAAAAGTGGGCGTTACATTGCGTTTTGCGCTGTGTGTGTACACATGAACCAACGGTAGTCTCGCTGGTTTATACTGAGCACGGCACGACGGGGCAATGCGACATATTGTGAACCTAGCCTTACTCTCTGTGTGACTTGTGTTCACTATTATATAGCTACTGCTGAAACTTCAGCTGTGACTAGTGTCGAGGAAGAAAGTCATGAAGATTCTACTGCAATGATTGCTCCTACTAGTGATATGAGCAGCAGGGATGAAGGGACTGGTAAGCAGTTTTGTAGTCAAACAACCCGGTGCTATATTCTGAGCTGTGGGCTGCGGGCTGCACCGGTATCAGTATTGGACAGGAAGTCCTTATCACAAATCTAGCGCTGGGCGTAGTGCAAATTGTCTGGTTTCCAAAGTTTACACAACACGTCCGGTATACCACCTCGCCGCCTATAATACATGTAGCTACATTATCATTTATATAGGCATAATGGTGGATAACCTGTGGTTCCCTATAATAACTTAAGCTGTTGTGTGCTCAGCTCCACCCTCTCCCTTGGGCATTGGGCGGAATAAATCAGCAACATCTTCCTAGGCATGCTATAGGTGTAACTTCTACATGTAGAACTATCTCCCGGTTTTCCGTGTGCCTATAAACACATGGCTATGTATGATGTTAGAGTAGAACTGATTTGCTGAGAAACAAAACTGGAATAAACAGAGAGTTATCCAGAAATTACGAGCATGGTGACGTCACATGTATTTGTTTGCACTTCACATTTGCACTATAATTATTATGTATGATGTATTAACATTTGGAGTAACCATTATTATGCAAAGAACTTTAGCAGTTTTAAGGTTCAATTTGTACTTGATGCATTGACGTATAATACTTGATCATGTCCTGTCCTGTTCAGGTGAATATGTTGCTACCAAACCCTCAAAGGTATTTTTGCCGAAGTCAAGTCCTCGACTTCAAAGAAAGGTGCATAATTATGTCAGTGCATAGCTACATAGGCACTTGGGCCTTGTATGTGTATTTATTGCCAACTTACTGTGTATTTATTGCCTACTAGGCCAACAGATTATGTGTGGCGCACTTCATTATTGGCGAGCGAAGCTAGCCTATTGGGGGATTTAAAAAAATAATGTGACGGCTCTATCAGGCACTGCACATACTATAATGTTCTACATCATTCTAAATACGCGCAAAACACGCGTGAAATATTGAACTGCTCATGCTCGCGCTTGCCAACAATGCATTGTATTCCTCTAGGCTATTCTGTGTGTATAGTTGTATCCCTGGAAGCTGACAGTAACTATGGGAACAACAGCAGTTAGTTGTTGCTTGGGTTTCCTTTGCGGCCCAGTTGTTGGCACAGTTGTGAAGTATTTCTCTGGTACCACGGGGGCACTCGGGCACTGGCAAAAACTAACATTCACAACAGTCTTTCTGTTACAGACAAGCCAAGATCGTGAGCACGACAAGAAGGAGGAGCAGAACGAGGGTATGTAGACCATAGAGATTTTTGACCCGATATTTAACCCCTTACTTTTCTGAAGGCATGAAGTCTCTCCTACAAGCCTACCAGGAAAACAAGGATGCTGACGTTCTGGAGGGTACGTACATATACATACGTGCATGTACCATTACTGTTAGCATAATCAGTGAGCATTTTTATCTTTTTAGGGAAGTAAAATGGGGACCTTTTTATTATGTGTTGTGGACGATGTGTGTCAGTGGACCATTTTATTTTGTATATTTTATATTGTATTATTAATTTGTACACCAAGTTAAGAGTGAATGTAAAAAGAATTATTGTATACGATAAAGCTACATGTTTCTGTAGATTATGTACGTGATCTTGTCATTTTCATGTGAAAATTTTACATGAAAAAAAGGTTTACTATGGAGCGTCCCAGGTATACTACGGGAAATCAAGTACCTCGTGTGGACCAATCAGATTGCTCAATTTAAACCAGCTATGCACTAAATATAGGTTAGATGCGGAGCCTAGGTGACTACGCGTGGTAGAGTGCCGAGGGCTCCCGCGTCCCGAGCGCAGCGAGGGCGCTACTAGGGAGCCCGAGGCACTCTACAACGTGTAGTTACCGTGGCGACGCGTCTAACCGGTTTAGATCCATTCAAACTGTTTGCAAAGATATATGGCCACGCCAGGCGAGCTGTTCAGCGACGAGATACTATCTTGTCTAGACGAGGAAGACTCCGAGAAGGAACTCGACATACTCATGCTCGCCGCGAGACAATCCTCGAACGCTCGTGCACGTAGAGTGGGCGGAGCCCTTTTCCGCGAAGCACGGCGGACGACGAGGGAGTGCTGTAGCTTTCGCCTACCGTTTCAGGCTCGCCGCTGGTAGCTGAAACCTCGCTCGAGTCTTCAAAATGAAAGGAGGATATAGGGATGGCTTGAAGCACCAAAAAGGAAGAAACAAGGGGTCATTAGTAGCACGCATAGAGATGAAACTTGGTACGTATGCCTATTATATCATTTCCATGACGATTACATGTTTCCATGACGACCGCATGTTGTTCGAAAAGGCCTCAGGCAATTTTCTTTAAAACCACTTCTTCACTCCTCAAACTTGCTAACTGTAGCACGCATGGAGGTGAAACTTGGTGCGCATGTGTAATACATCGTTTCCATGACGACCACAACAACAAATAGCCTCAGGCACATTTCTTTAAAACTACTTCTTCACTCCTCAAACTTGCTAACTGTAGCACGCATGGAGGTGAAACTTGGTACGCAGTGTAAACATGTTTCCATGACAACCACAACAACAAATAGCCTCAGGCACTTTTCTTTAAAATTACTTCTTCACTCCTCAAATTTACTAACGGTACCACGCATGGAGATGAAACTTGGTACGCATGCGTGTAACATCATTTCCATGACAACATCGTATTATTTGAACAACAACAAATAGCCTCAGGCATTTACTTCTTCACTCCTCAAACTTGCTAACGGCAGCACACATGGAGATGAAACTTGGTACGCATGTGTATTACATCATTTCCATGATGACCACAGACATTTTTCTCTATTATTAATTTTTATAGGGGGCTTGCCCCCTTTCACAGAGATATACGTAGTAGTATATAAAAATGAGTGGAGACAAGTTGGGATGGTATAAAAAGAAACGGAGACAAGATAGGGATGGTGTTTGTGGAAGCACAGAGATGCTAGCGAGGAGTTAAGGACTCCCACAGGTCATTACAACAGCCCTATATCGTTGTACGGTGGGAGTGAAGGTTATGAAACAGTATTGCTAAGTACTGTACTACTTAATAATGATCGTTGTGTACATTTCATCGATCTGTCATGCTACATTCCCATGGAGTGTATGCACATCAAGGTGCGAGCAGTTATGTGTACTGTCGTATATAACCAGCTGACCAAAACAATGTACATGCATAACATCATTACATGGAAAACATACGTATAATACGAGAAAACCAAATTCAAGTATGCAGGGTTGCTGATACTTATGCGAGGAAGATTTTCCTCCGCGGTCAAGCACCGATACTACGATATAGGGCTGTTGTAATGACCTGTGGGAGTCCTTAACTCCTCGCTAGCATCTCTGTGCTTCCACAAACACCATCCCTATCTTGTCTCCCTTTCTTTTTATACCATCCCTATATGCCTCTTTTTTTAAATTCGCAGGATTTTAATTTACTTGTAATAATGTGAAAAGCTACAGTGCAAACCCTCGGCGAACTGCGCATGCGCGGTTCTGCTAATTGATGGGCTGGGCTATTTCGTGGTGGTCTCCCGCTAGTATAGCTCGCGGAGTCTGACACGGGCTAGCTACAGTAGTAGATAGCATGCGGCAGTCGATACACGCCCTTCGTTGTGACTTCTTGTGCCTTCAAGATACACAGAGCAATCGGGCCCGGTCGAATTAGCATATAACCGCATGCGCATTTTCCACAGCGATAAAAATGGCCGACTACGCATTAGCCGATATACAATGCTGGAAGCGCTCTAGCTTTGCAACGGAGCATTTTCAGAGAAAACCATTCGAAATTCTGACCTTCATTGCCCGTTAAGTAGGTGGTATCGTTTGTGAGACGAAAGAACATTGGAGAAGTGGGATGTAGAGTAACACACACACACACACACACCCAACTACAGTATATACTCTCGCTGCGCATGCGCGCCGAGGGTAACAAGTAGCACCTTCTTCTCACAAGGAGTCTGTCAAGGGTTTGAATAGCAACTACCAACTCTGTCCACCGTAGCTGGAATTTTCTCCATGTATTATGTTGGCTTCCGAACATGAAACCATTCTTTCTCACCATACTCTGGTGTGACCTTTTAGCTAGAGCTGGTTCTTTCTGAGGGTCAGAGCGGCAGCACTGAGGTGGAATCCTAGTTGTTCTAAAATGGCGCATGTGTGCAAGCGCGTGATTTTATGATTATGTAACATCAAAAATGCCAAGAAAGTTGACTAAAGCGCCCAGACTCTCTTTCCCTCGCAGAAGGGCAGGGTCTGGGAACGAGACTAACATGTATATACAGAAAACCTGGTAATGGTCCAATGTTCCACTACACTACACATGTAGCAGCTTCTCACAAGGAGTCTGTCAAGTTGTTTTGATAAGATAGCGATTAGCAACTGTATTCACCGCACTTTTAATTTCCTCTATGTCTTCTGTCCTAACACGAAACCATTCTGTCCCACCAAGTACACTGGTCATGTTGATCTTGTTATCATCCTTCAGCTTCTTAATTCAAAAAAAAAAATCTGCTTCAGCCTTTATCACATCACTGGCCGACCTTCTTCCTATGTATCTCAACTTATTGGGATTTCCGGTTTGAAGGTTTCTACGCCGGGTATTAATTAAGGTCTCCGGTACGACCAATCTTGAAGGAAAGTGTTTCACCTTGCTGTACGAGGTACAGATATCCAGGGCGAGGTGTTGGTTCACCCCCACCCACGAGATGGGGACCACCCACATCATCAGTAAAACACGGCTCAGGATATAAGACTGGGAGTTGCGGTCCTGGAAGACCCGCCATTTTACTAGCACACCGATCGTTTTGGGGGAGGAAATGCATGAGTCGCCTCCTATGCGCATGCGTGCTTAGGCCCTCGACCCTGGATCGAAGAGAGCAGATTCTGCGAAGTTGCTGAGCATCATCCAGATAGGGCCTATATAGTCTGGCGTAGCCACACTTTGCGAGAGGGTGTGGCTACGCCAGACTAGATGGGGCCTGTGTCATTAGGGAAGCAGGGGACATGGCCGCTGAAGTGCCGCCACAGTAAGTATATACCAAAGTCAATTACTCGAGACACTGGCTGCATGCAGCAAGCTCTGGAACCACGCTCTGGACCATGGCCTGCACTCATTGTGAAGGGTGCAAAAAACTTGTTATGCCTAGCAACAACGAAATGTCCACTATGTGACATCATAGATGTTAGATAATAAAGACTACTCAGTGTAGTCTACTATGGTGACAATTAAATTAACTATGTTCGCGACCCACAGGACCTACCCGAGCATTTTGTTGCAGATCACAAAAAAGTGAAAGGACCTGGAATATCCTGCTCAACTCTTTGGTCACCTTGGACAGTTCATTCTATACTGGTGTTAGCTAGATGTTTTTCATATACCAAGTCTCTGGCCGTATGTAGCTATCATTATAGACATGAGCCTGTAGCATGGGCTGTATTGCTACTGTGTTTTGAAGGCTTTTCTAGTCGGTTCTCACGGTTATTTGACTACCCCAAAGTCCATGGACAACATGATTATCATTTTTACCAAGCACGCCTGTGTATACCTGAGTATTTGAACGTACCAAACCACACACTAGAGCATCTCAGATATAAGGATATGTTGGGAACAAAACATGTTTCCTCTGTAACTGGGGGTTGAAAGAGCCACAGCAATTAGTAGAGATCTCCAGCATAATAAATATAAGTTAGATGCCGAGTCCAGGAAACTACGCGCATTAGAGAGCCGCGGGGACCCCGGGCTGTCGGCGTTCGAGCGCAGCGAGGACGCTACTAAGGGCCCCCAAGGCGCTCTAATGCGCGTAGTTTCCATGGACGAGGCGTCTAACTTGTTTAGAGCTATGGCAACGCGTGCGCGCAATTCAAATTCGGTGCATCTGAAACCGCGAACGAGCGCTGCTTTCTCGCTGGGAAGTCAAGCGAGAGGCCCAGGGAGGACGTCGACAACGGGCTCGACTCTATACACCTTCGCAGACCGTTGGGGGACTCCGCCCAACGTAAGTGAGCCATTGCGCATGCGCAAAATTTAGAGTCCGGAGAAAGTTTATTTAGAGTCCGGAAAATTCGCTCTACTCGAATTAGAGTCCGCGCACGGACCAATCAGATTGCGCAATTTAAATTACCCAGCTCTAATTATTATTTTGATGAGACAAGCCACCCTTCTTCAACCCCAGTGAGAAATTGTCCAAAAAGCTAGAAAATTCAGTACTGGTAGTTCCAATATCCATGTGTTTTGGTATCGCTATTAATTTTGTTGGCCTTGCATCAGCAACAGAAAACACACAAGGCAAGTATACTGTAACCCTTGCTGTGCATGTGAGCCACGCTTCAATACTTCATGCAAAATGATCCAAAATACCAGGCTAGGTTTTGCGCTATAATTACTGCAGAGCCAATTGCGTGACAAAAACATGACCATTTCCATTATTATGTACCAAAACATGGTCACTTCCAAAATGCTGCATTTCAAAACACAATCAATTCTAAAACGTGCCACTTCAAAACCTGATTCAGTTCTAAAAACATTGTGCTTACAGTACTGCTATTTTCAAACACACTGTTTACACAACTGGCATCTGAAAAAAACGAGCTAACTATGTGCATTCAAAAAAGGAAAAGGCTAACTCTGATGAATCAGAAAGGCATCACATTGTGACCTGTCAGGATGAGGTACGAAGCAAGAAAAGAAGGTAGCTACTTCAGATTCAGGATGAACCAGTGGTAGAGGAGTAGAAGACAAGGTGGTGTATATAAT